CAAAACATTTTTTTTAATTTTAAACTGAAATAGACTAAATCAAGAACATGCATGCATAATAAACACAAATAAAAATTAAATGGACTAATTTGATTAAATTCAAAAAAAAGGAGGACTGATTTGAAAAGAGTTGAGACCCATGGACTAAATTACTTAATCATGAAGGTTTTGTGCGAGATTGAAATAAAAAAGATAACTTTTAATTTTAGAGAAAGATTAAAAAAAAATAGAGAATTGAAATTAATTAATTAAGATAATTAACTTAATTGGATGATTGACTCAACATTAATTGAAATTAATTAAAATTAATTAATTACACTTATCAACCTCCTCTAACTAAGATAATTAAATAAATTTAATTACCTTAAATTAAGGCTAATAAATATAATTAATTTACTTTAATTAAAATTAATTAATTTTGTTAATCACACATTTAAACTAATTATCCTAACCAATTAATCATTTTTATTTATTTATTATTATTTTTTTCTTTTTACTTTTTTTTTTTCAGTTTTGTTTTAGTTTAGTTATTTTTTTATTTTTTTTAACACATGAAAATAGATCAAAATAGATCAAAACTTAGGCAACTAAAATCTGGATGGAAACAAAAGGAAATTTACGGTTCCTATTCTACCATTCATCAACACAGACAAAAAGAAAACAAATAAACATTCATCCCAACTCAAATCCATGACGTTCAATCAGAGCATGTTTGATTTTTTTTTTTTCATTCACAATATCATCATCAAATACAATCCTAATACATCGAAATCTAAGAGAAATTGCAACAAACAAGGTGGAAATTTTCTGGGAGAAGACAGATCCGAATCGAAAGGGGGGATCCTGTTGTTGCTGAATATCCTTAAGATTCTGCTTTGGGCTGATTCTTCTCCAAGTGGTCCTGCAAAGTCCCGAGGTTGGTCCTCGGGAAGAAATTTCGATGCTTAAGTCAGTATTTTTCTAATAATGTTTTCCTTTTTTGTTCCTCTTATTTATCAAACCTTACCTTGTGGGCTTTGTCCATCTTGGCAAGGCACCCACATGGCTTGTCCACACCCATGTGGCCCAGTCAACCCAATAATAGTGACATGGTGCGCTTGACGAAATAGACGTTTTAGGTGAATGTAACGTGCCTTAACTAAGCAACCGCATTAAATGCGCGTGGTGTGTTCTGACGGAGCAGGTTCGTGTTCTCATAAAGACAAATGATCAGATGAGGGTGTGCTTATTGTGGCTGCCATACACCTACGATGGATTGCCGAGGTGCGGTAGACTCTGAGCTCTGTAACCGAGGTGTAGTAAACTCTGAGCTTTGCAGCCGAGGTGCGGTAGACTCTGAGCTCTGTAACCGAGGTGTAGTAAACTCTGAGCTTTGCAGCCGAGGTGCAGTGAGTTTTGAGCTCCGAACTTTGCCTTGCGTCTCGTATAGCTGCCCTTACAGATCTCACCCATGGGATCAAGCTTCATTCGTCTCCTTCACTATCCTTCCCAAAAATTCCTCTGTTTAGGGAATTACCTAAGCGAACCCAGAAAATGTTTCCTTCTCTTTAAGTTGCTGTTGCACTCTCCCAGATCATCACTCTCGAACCAGCCCTTCAACACCAGTGACGGAGGCGATGCTCTCGACAACCAACCTCCCCAAAGAAAACCAGCCCTCGCTTCTTCGAAATCTCCCTCTAGTGCTCTCAAGAACCAGACAGAGACTCCCTAAATCAACTCCGAAAATCAACCACCGACCTCAACCCCTCGGTACTGTACTTTCTGCTCTATATATATATATATACCCAAACAACAAAATAAAATAACAATGAAAAAGCCTTGCTCTCTCAATCATTAATGATGCTAATTTTGTCTGGTATTGTTGTTTTTTTCTATAGATGAGGCAAGGGCATGATTGTAGCATGCAGGAGGCAGGGGCAAGGGATTGGGGTGCAAAGTGTAGGAGGGCAGGCTCGGTGCAGCAGTAGGGACATAGGCTCAGTGCAGGGGGGTAGGGCACGGTGTGTAGAGGGATGATTACCACTAGTGGGGCACAGAGGAGAGGGGCACAGGCTCAATGCAAAGGGGGGTATGATTGCCAATGATGTTGGCGTGCAAAGGGACATGATTACCGGTAGTGGGTGGCGCAGAGGAGAGGGGATCTAGGCACAGAAGGTGAGGGGATCTGGTGCAGAGCAAGGCTTGGGATCTGGGCGTAGAGGTGAGGGGATCTGGTGCAGCATGTAGGAGGCAAGGGTGCAAAACAGGGGTGCTAGTTCGGGAGCGGAAAAGGGAGAAGGCTAGGGTGAGGAACTGAGGATGTAGAGCAGGGTTCGAGTGTGAGGAAGGAAGGTTCTGGATGCCTTCCTTTTTCTTTTTTTCTTTTTTTTTTTTGGGTTTTTTATGGTTTTTGGGTTTGGTATTTGGGCTTGGGTTTTGGGTTTGAATTTTTGGGTTTTGGGCTTGGGTAGTTGGTAGGCTTTGGGTTTTTGGGTTTTTGGGTAATTGGGTTTGAGTAAGTTGGTGGGTTTTGGGTTTTAATGGGCTAGATTTATAGCTTAAAGGATTTCATCCCCCAACTTTTGATTTCTTCAATTGAGTCCTTTCTTTCTTCTTCTCCCACTTTTTTGTGAAATTTTCCTTTGCTTGCAAACCTAACAATGAAAGTAAAAACCAAACATATTAATTAAGATAAAAATAAAAATTTCAATTTAAAAATTTTGAGTTATGACACATGTCTTCATAACTCCAATCATCTGGGCAATTGGTAAAGAAATATGGAGTGGCTTGTTTGTAAAGACCCCAGATGTACTTTCCATCCTTTTGCATCTTCCAACCCTGGTGCTGAACATCCTGCACTCTACCTTGTCTCACTAACTCAAATCTCCTTTGTTGGCTTCTTTCACGAGGTCCTTCACGCTCTCGATTCAATGCCGTCTGTCTTGCCAGTGAATTGTGTCCGCCTCATTCCCTTCTCACTCTCTCTCTGCCTCTCTCTCTAATCCTTTTTTCTTCCTTTGAGTTCTTTTTTCCGTTAGGATCGTCTTTAGCTAGCTTTTAAGAATGTTGTTGTTGTTACTATTATTATTATTATTATTTTAAAATACAAACTTTTAGTTAGTACTTGGTAGATATGTAGCTTTACGAAGCTTTATGGAGGAAGGGTTTAAGCAAGAGTTTTCTTCTGATGAAGAGTACAATACAAATACAATACAAGTGTATAAAATACATATTTGACTATTTATGACTATTTAAGCATAATATACAAAATTAGGAAAAACTTAGAGCACTCCTGTCATCATTTGTCGAAGTCAAACCCACAATTTTTAGGTGAACCTTAGTCGTTAGGTCTTAATTAATTAACTCACTTGAGTCTTCATTATCATTTTAAGAAAAGAAAAAGATTGAAATATTTTTTAAGAAAATCAATATTTATTTGTGTTTAATCCTTTTCCTTTTTGAACAGACTACAATTTTGGTGGACGGGGAATTCGAATTCCAATTCTAAGATGGAGTGCAGTTTACGAGAAGACATAGTTTTTGGGTTACAAAACTTAGGCACTATTTGTGTTTAATCTTGATTAGTAAAGTTGAAAGCAAATTAATCTCCAACAGCCACGCACAACTCCAAAAAAATTACCCATAAAATAAATATAAAATCGAAATATCTCTTGTACTCTATTTAATAATTTTTTTTTATTTTTATATTTTTGCTAATAAGAACAATCCTCTACTTCTTGGTTTAATATGAATATGCAAATGATGCTCTAATATTTGATTGAAAAATATACTATTTGTTTGAAAAGAAAAATATATAAAGATTGGAAATTTCCTTTTCATGCAATCAAAGTAAGGAATTTTAGGGCAAATCATAGAATTTACCATCTTGTTGAATATCGGACAGTCGACAAGTATGAAAACGCACTCTTAAGTGTTCTAAGTCTTTCGGCACTGAATTAAATCCACCGTGACAATGACTCTTTAACCTCGTTTTTTGAATTGTCTTTTATTTTTGATGATCATTACATTATCTTAACCTAAATCTCCCGTTGCTTCTAGGGGATATTCCACCGAAAGGAAGACCGAGGAACCACAAAAAACCCAAAAAAAGATACAAAATATTC